TATTTGCTCTCAAGCGAGAGCGCAGAATTTCTCGTCTGTAAAAGCCGAAGTTGTAGCACACTGGAACTTGTAGTCATGTCAACAAACACGCAGCATGTGACTTTAAAAGCTCCTAAAATGAGCAATGATGATGATAAACAATCAAACTATAGACTAATGTATGTTTTGTGCCGTACAAAAGCCATATTTACTGATTTTAGCAAATCTCCAAAGTAATAAACGACTGAAGAAAGAAACGCTACGATTTTCTCTTCGATTTTTCGCCCACATGCATCTCTCTAAACGTGAAATTTTCCATTCCTACAAAAAATCTCGAGAGTTTTTCACATTTTTCACCTTTCTTGATCAATCATCTTGTATAAAGAGCCAAAAAATGTAGGTTTATTTGGTCAAGCGACCGCCTAAAGCAAGAATTGCGTAACAGGTGTAGTTGAGAGAAACTTGTCACAGTCGCAGATTTTAAAAGGCATCCAAGACAAAAATACGGTAGCGCCCAAAGATTTTTTTGATGATTTTCAGAGATGAAATAATGGGTTATAAAGGGGAATCAAGATTAGTGTTGTAGCTTTCTGGCAAGGGGAGATATTTGACCTCAAAGTTGTCAAATATTTGGATGAATCGAAAAGTCTAAAAACACAGTCGTTTCTTTGCCTCTGTTGATTAACAAGCCGTCAATCAAATTGACTGATACTTGTGGCGAACATTAACTAAGGATGGAAAAATATGTGTGCAAATCCTCAGAGTAATTGGTTAAATACCATCGCAGTGAGAGCTTCATACATTTTACCTATTTTGAAGCGATTTCCTTGGTGAAAACCAAGAAAAACCGGGGGGGTCTATCTCCCTCCGGAAAAAACCAAAACAGAAACCGGTTTGTCTTTTTGAGTTTTGAGGTAGACCCTTTAAACTGGCAAAGTTTCATTGAAATCGGTGAGATGGCATATAGCACAACTGCCCGGTGCTCTCGTGGACAGGCTCTTAAGTATAAAGCCCAATTTCCTTAACTTCTGTACTAGTAAATGCATACTCTCTAAAAGGTAGAATTACTAATCAGATCTTGGGTCCATATGGTTTCTCGCCATAGCCTCTTACCAAGAACAATCCGGACCTCACTACTGAACCAGTAAACTTTACCAACGGGGCGTTCTCCGTGAAGGTCGGATCTAAGCAAAGCTCGTGGCAGGTGTACACAGTAACCAACTACCAAGGAGCTTCCACCACTTTGGTCCCTTGCTGACCCTATCAAGAGCATGCGTGTTTCATGAGCAATTCAGAAGAAGACAGCGTGAAAGTGTTTGAAGCAATCTAGCTGTAATTAAGAAATTAAGTTAAATCCAAGGTTGCAATTTTGTGCTTGACATAAGCTAAGCTATCCACGGTCTAATTAAAGAATGTCATTCTCCAAGTTGTGAGTCGTTTTTGAGTTATTAAAAAAGTAAATAAATGAATAACATTTATGTTAGCGAACAGAGAGTGGTATGTTGCTCGCACCAATCAGATCGTTTAGGGTATGTATTTCGCACCAATCAGATCGCCGCATTAGGGTTTGTATCTCGCACCAATCAGAGCGTCGTTTTTGTTCTTTGGTTTGAGAGGTGTTAAAATTTCAACGAAGTAATGGGGGATTCGAAGAGAGCAGTTCGTAAAACGGGATCATCTTTTAGAATGAGAAATGTTGGCTTTTTTGTGTTTTTAACGTATATTTTACCGCACTTCATGAGAAACGCGATACTACCGGACAGATGAAAGATATCAGATTACCTATAGTAAACGTGTTACTCATGCTATGAAAATGGTGGATAGTTGTTCGAGAGAAAGTGGAGTCCTGTGTTCTGTAGCATGATCATGGTTATTGTTCTTTCACGAAGAGAGTGAGTGGAAAAATTCTGAATCAAACATTGTTTGAGGTGTTGATGAATGGCACCAAACGTTTTGATTTGAGCAGTTCTTTAAGGGCAAGCTTTGTTGCAAGATTCATGATTTGTTGAGTGTGCCGATTATATATTTCCTAGGTTTGTTTGCTCGGTGCTATCTCTAGATGAATGTCTGATTAAAATTAACTATTTTGTATATGTTTTCGATGCCTGGAGAAAGTGATCTTGTGGGGTCGTTTGTGTTTGGCTGAGGGCGAATACAGATACCATCGTCAACATGTTTATTTTATTCTGTTATCTGGGATGAATGATTTACGAAGGTAGGTTAATGTGATTTGATCGACTAACGTCGGAAATATATCAAGTGGAAGGAACAGTTTTCATCTCGGTCCGCACTTTTGTTACAAAATAAACACATACCGCTTGAAAAGATGATAATTCGGACCAAGTGCAGAGCTGTCAATTGTTTCTCCAATGTTGCGCGTGTTAATTATTCAAGAATGACATCTCATTTACATCTACATCTACATCTACATCTACATCTACTTTTAATACGTTGGTAAAATCTGTACAGACATCACACCAACCCGTGCACAAAGTGAGAAGACTATATGAAGGCTTGAAATTATATTAAGATCGATTTTGATCAAGAAATGGGCCAGGAGTATTCCACAATAGTGCAAATAATCGTGAAAGCTGATCGCGGAGAAGCGATTGCGTAACGCTCGGTAAGTTGTAAGATGACATGTTATCACATACCAGACGAAAAAACTCTTTAGATTCTCAGTCTGCATTTAGTACCCACTCTGAAGTCTGCAGCCTACATTTTGTATCCGGTCAGCAGTCTGCATTTTGTACTAACAGGTATCCGTGGCACCAACACAGTTTATTTTTAGTTACAGTTATTCGCACAACACACAATTTCCCCTTTTTTCCTGTCTCAATCTCCTCTTTTTGCAAAGTTTGCGCGAAATTCTCACCCAAGTGGAATATAAACTCACGAAAATGTTATGATATCAATCTCAGCTCTGATCTCGACAAGACTGAAAATTATGACATTGTATTGGGCTCTTAACTTCGTGAAACAAGAGGCAACGCATATTTGGAGGACGTTGACCGTTTTTCCCTTTGAGCCGACCAAGTCTCTCAATAATGCAGTTATACTGGCAGGATATATTCAAGTTTGGTCTAATTTTACTATGAAATCAGCCGTAAGAGTCTTGACATCTAAGACATCCAAAAAAATTCTATTCTTTAACTGAATGCCGATATTTTCATACCATTATGACATTAATATTTTACCTAAGGGTAAATTAGCTGAAGCGGAGAGAAATGATATCACTTATTAAGAGCCGTTCTCGCCAAGAGCGGTCCTCTCAACTTCCCTTTTTTGCCCATGAAAAGGGTTTAGGACACATGTTTCAAAAGTAGTTTGGTTGTTCTCCAATTCTCTTTTATTGCGTCGCCACAGGCCAAAAATGATCTTTGGCTAGACCACACCTAGGGATAGCAATCGAAAGATTGGCGAGTGGAGGAAATTAGACAAACAGGAACAACATTTTGTATACATCGCAACATTGTTTCAAAAACTCTCGTGAAGGAACAACTACTCCACGAGACTGGAAAGGCCGTGGCTTCCATGTTACACAAGCGAAGCCGGAAAATCTCTTTCAGCTTTCTCTGCAGTAATCTGTTTATTTTGTCTTCGCTATCAGCTTGAATCGACAGTCGCAATAGTCATGTCATGACCGACGGCGACATTTGTCAAAAGTACCAAGATATTGGCTCCACCTAGCTAGCTAGGCTATTGACATTTTCCCTTTTTCCTAGGAGCGACAAGATAATGAATCGATTGTCTACAGCGGTGTGTTCTTTAAATTAACAGAATAACCATACAAACTGATATGGCGATGCGGGAAAAGAGTAAACAATGGCCATTGTCTTGTTTCACTTACACAAAGGAAGAACCATCCTTACCAGGTAAGTTGATATGAAGTTTTACATAATCCACTCTTAGGGCTGTTTAATTGGCCTTTTATTTAAACTTATTATAGGTGGATTGCTATAGCTTCTGTCACAGCCCCTTTCCCCCCCCACCCCCCATCTCCAATTGTATTATGTTTTCCAATCTACTTGAGGAGTACCACCCAAGTTAACTCCCAGGAGTGATTAACAGGTAATTCTCCTTACAACATACATATATTATCAAACAAACAGGTAATAATAATACTTAAACTTATCAGGTAGAAGTTGTTATTTTGAATTGATACCAAGTTCTCCAAACTAATTTACAAGCAAATGTGTAGCCACCAGAGGGGAGGATTATCAATCAGATCTTGTTAGTTAAAGGGTTAAAAAAAACTATGAACACCTGAAAAATGCTTGAAATGTTTATTGAATTCTGACCAATCACATAGGAGATCAGGACATGTCAGCAAACCATAAAACTGCAAATCAATGAATGTGACTGCATACCGTGAAGATTTCTCACACCTGGTTGACTCGTCTCCCCATCCAGAAATATTTTCAGAAGTTACGGTTTTCTTACTCTTACTGTAAATATATTCTCTGTAGAGAGGTGTGGGGTTGAAATTTTAAAGTTAACAGAAGGTGACCTACCAGCTATAACATGGTAGCCTCATTGAAAAGTTATGTGGTACTTGTGTTAAATTATTATAATGATGACTTGTGTTATGAATGTTATTTTAAGTTTGCTGGACTTCTCTCCAGAAGAAATTCGCCTTGAGGCATACAATGCAAATGCTGAAGGGAAGGCTGATAGCTATGTAAGATAATCTATATGTAGATTTTACTTTAATCCTTTACACTTTAACATCAGCATGCTTATTCTCCATAATGTTCTCTATACATTTCCTATGGTGTTGACAAGGAGATTTTGTTTCACAAGTAAGAGCTTTGTTCGGCAATCAGTTCCTTAATTGTCGTAAATTTTTTATTCAGAGTTGATACTGTAAGGAGAATTTAGATGCTAGTCACTCTTAGGGGTTAAGATTCATAACTCAGAATTTTAGGAAGAGATGTTTGTTCTGACATGGGGCTGAATTAACATTTTCCTCAGATATTTCAAACTCACTCTAATTATCCAATTTTTGGTTTTGTTTACAGCAGCAAGGACTGAAAACTCTTATCACTGCTAATCAACAAAATCGGTAGCAGTTAGGACGCATGTCAGTCTCACAGATTGTAAGCTCAAAAAATAAACCTTTTATACAGTATTCTTTCCTTGAACACATATAGCAACAAACAGTTTTGTCTATCTTTGAAAATAGTGATGAAAAAGTTGTGAATTATCCTCCATGCACTAACAGGGATGACTGATGTCGGTGTCATGAATGGGCCTTTCTAGTGTTCAATTACTGGATATTACAGATTGATAAATGCCCAGAGTTGCTTGTCACTACCATCATTTAAATGTGATCATATGTTGTGAGGACCATTCTGTAAACCACTTATGGTGATGTTGGTTCCCTCAGTAAAGATTGATTGAAAAAATACAGTCCTGATATCTGTGGAGACTCCCTAAGCCTCCATGATATGTTCTTTTTGAAACACTTGGACAATTTTGTTTTTCATTACCAGCAAGAAGAGATAAAGAAGCAGCGCAGCCATAAGGCAGCAGATTCAATGGAAGCAGGATCATCAATGCTACAGACACAACCAGGGATAGGTTTTAATGGACATTGTTCATTTGGTCAGATGAATAGTTTTTTGCAACTAGTGGCCCTGTTTTTCAGTCGACTGGCTTCTCATCTCCAGCAGCTACATTGAACCAACAAAGTAACTTAATCAGCACAAGTAATTCTACCGATCAAGTAAGCCTGTTTGGACAGAGCAATGTCCCAGCGATGACTGGAAATGTTTTTTAGAATACTTTAAGTGCCAGCAATCAGCAAACTGGAATGACCAGTTTTCCTTTAACTAGCCAATCCGCGACTATGTTTAGTACAAACTTAAACCAATCAGCCACTTCAAATACTGGCTTCTTTGGAGTAAAAACTGAATCAAAACCTGGAGTGTTTGGTTCTGTACCTTTACAGACAGTGACTGGGGTTTTTCCGAGTGAATCCCAAGTACAGAAAGACAATGGATCAAGCAGCTCAATGGTAGGTGTATCTGGTCATTTTTAACAGCAGCAAAAACAGAAGAGCCAAGCTGTTACTTTAATTTCACAAACTTGCCTAGGGCCTGACAATTTTTTCTCGTGGAGGGTGTTGGTGGGTAAGCTGAGCTGCTCCAGGGTCAGTTAGAACACAGGAAAGTCATTTAGCTCCAGTTTTGCGACTTTATTTTTTTCCTTTCTGAGCAATCGCTTCCTAAGATATGAAGGTAGTCTTTACTCGCTGGATCTTGATAAAGGCAGGTCTATATGCGAATGAAGTCTTTGAGGAGCCTGTTTAGCTCGCTTTCTTTGTTATTCTTGTCGCAGCGGTAAAACTTTCAATGGAATCATGATTTTGTGTTTATAAATCGATACGATCGTTACTTTTAGACAATATAACGTTACTTCATTTCGTATATTTTGTCAAGAGTCTAAAACCAAAAATTCAGTTGAAATCTTCGAGCGAAAGATACGAGAAAGTTATAGATCGCGTCTGTTTGTGATCTCTTTGGTTAGTCACTATCAAGTTTGAATTTTTCATCATTACATTATTATTGTCATTAACAAGTTTGAATTTTTCTACGCGAGAGAAAAATGTTGAAGGCAAAAACCAAGAATGTACTGTGCATGTATTTCAGCGTTGTGCATGTATTTCATCGCTTTACGTAATCAGAGAAATTCCATTGAAATTATTTGTGACGAATTGAAGAGGAAAGCATTGTTTAGTTAAAAGGATCAAGTTTCACTGAAAGAAAGTTTGATCAAGATAACTATTTGGAAAGTTTGTGAATCAAATTGGCGAGTTTTTTTGCGACATGAAATTTTGGGGAAAGAAGACTTAGTGCAGTGAAAATGTAACTAATAACGCACTTGAACTTGTTTTGATTTTCGTTCTCTCTACAGAGATCTACTCCAGAAGCCACCTCATCAATGGAACAGTCAACACCTGTACCTTTGACTTGTAGTGAAGAAGATATGCAGGCCTTCAGGGCGGACAGTTTTGTGCTTGGAAAGATACCTGAGTGTCCACCACCATTAGAATTTTGTTAACAGCTTTGATCCTTGAAAGGCTGAGAGAGTCTTGGCAGCGAATATCTTGTAAAATTTAACTTGAATTCTTCATTTCTTCATTTTCTATTCCTGTCAATTCGGCTTCACCTTCCTAAACCGTCGTTGTTCGCTATTTTTCTACTCCGGACTTTATTGTTACGTTGGGTCGCAGTGACGGTAAAACTAGCTGCAGACCTCAACACCCTTTTACGAAAGGCACCAAGGACTCTCGGTCTGTCTTTTCTCGGTGAAGGGGATAAGTTTCTAAGGAAACTGTGGTGCTGCGTCGGTGGGAGAGTATAGCAGGTCATTAAGTGTGAACAACTGAGTTGAAAACAGAAATTGGCCACCATAGAGAGTGAAAAGGCTGACGTTTCGAGCGTTAGCCCTTCGTCAGAGCTATGGGCTAACGCTCGAAACGTCAGCCTTTTCACTCATTACGGTGGCCAATTTATGTTTTCAACTCATAGTTAACACTAGACTACCTGTCGTTTCTCAGTCCTTTTTAATCTCTCTGCTCTCTAATATACAATTCTACTTACATCAATTTTACCTCACTCTGATTGTACCTCTGATTGATCTCTCTCTGATTCTCACACTTTGATTCTTACCGGCTGAATCTCACTCTTGTAATTCTTACTAACTACTATGTAAACTCTAAAGTACATGCTTATATATTTACTATCGGTAAGCATGAGTGGGCATGCTAGCTAACTGACCTTGAAGATTAAACATTTGTTGTTAGATCACTAACCCAAACACTTTTACAAGAATCTCACAAATGAACAACAATGTACTGATTGCTTTCGCTCAACTGAATCAATATTTGACTGCGTAAGCCCAAAACAAGAACTTTAATTCGTGTGGGTCCAAAGCAAGGTCACTATAGAGACAAACTAAGCACGTCCACTGAAGGAAAATAGACAAAACAGTCGATTTGGAAACTCATCGCGAGAGCTTTAACCGAAATAACTTCGGACTTTTAATTCATGCAGTAACTATATGCTAAATATTACCGAATGAGAAAATGATACTGAACTAACTAAGTACTTCATAACAGTCAAAACGGTTTCCTGTTGAAAACTCTAAAAATAGTCCATTTCTTGTGAAGCGTAAATCGGTTGGAACGCATGCACGCACACAATAGGTTTGGTGAACAGAATAGCATTCACTCGACAGTTTGAGACAGTATCCTTCGCCTTTGATTGAAATTTTCCTTGGAAATTAGATTACAGATCTGTCGATGAGAATCTGCAGAGCAGAATCGTGGCAAATATAGATAGAACAGAAACGAGAATGTAATCAGAGAAATTCCATTGAAATTATTTGTACTGAATTGAAGAGGAAGGCATTGTTCAGTTAAAAGGATCACGTTTCACCGAAAGAAAGTTTAATTAAGAAAACTACTTGGATTAATTGGATTTCTTCTTTCTGTTATTCATGTCTTTAACAAATTTGCCGCCATTGTGACCGTATTGTTCACGCTTGGCTGCCATCTTGTGTCAAATTCTAACCCTCTTAACAAAGAAAAGAAAACCACCTATCTTGGCAAATACCTCGCTTTCGACTCTCACCACCCCTATTTGCCATAAAGAGTCTGTAACTAAAACTTTACTCGGGAGGGCTGACTGTCTATCATCTTCACCGAAGAAGATAATCTTAAACATTATTTTTGTAGAATACTTTTTCTATTACAAGTAGCTATGGCTTAGGCAGTGGATTACTAATTTTAATAGACTCAATCATCCTTACTAAAAATTAGGAAACCTTGAATCATTGATAAATAATGAAAGAGAGTTTCAGCACAAAACAGAATCTCAAAATGCTTGCAGACGGTTTGTTACGAAAGTAATGCCACGGATGACTATTGGCTGTTCTGATAGATGGCCATCAACAAGTTTACTGAGATGCTCAAAAGTCTGTTACAACGAGTGTCCTTTTGTTAACAGTCGATAAATCAAAAAAAATTAAAATTCTAAGCTAACCATTACAAGTTTGTTTAATCACGACGTTTTTTCGAACAATAAACAGAGCCACAGACATATATTGTGAGCCCATTTCTGTTTCACACAAATGAAGCAAGCCAGATTAAAGGTAGTCAACATCGGTTCACTAAGCTGAGTTTATACGATCTTTCGACACTTCGACATCTCAACACTTTACGTCCTCGAAAATATCCCCCACCCCCACAAGGTTACTGTCGATTCTGTCATGTTGTCCAACTCTGTAAAACAGAACGTGACCAAAATGTTGAAAGGAAAGACGATGTGACATTTTTCATTTTTCCCACCAGTGACTAGATAATGACTCGTTTTTCTAAATGGGCGTATTCAACGGTTGCGCAAGAAAATTCCTGTTTATCTATGAGGTTACCATCCCAAACTTAGAGACCACTTAATGCATGCTTTGTGATACACTATGTTTGAAAATGTAATGAAAATAAACCTCGTAAGTTCTTGTCAAGAGGCCCATTGGGAGAAAGTGTTTTTGATGTACGCTTAATTTATGCCTTAACACGTACGCGTAGTTTATTCAGCTTCACTGAAAAACAGTATCTTAGCTAATTACCAAAGCGACTTTTGGAAAGTTAAGGGCCGAATATTGGTTTTCTTCTATAGTTTGTACCGCGAATGCTTTTCTGTATTGGCATCCAGTTTTCCAGATATCTTGCTTTTTGCTTCATACCAGTAATCAGGGAGGCAAACATTTATCGCTGGCACGGAATAGGAAGCGCTGAAGCATGACCTTGAAAACTTCCACAGTCTTGTCGTTTTCAGTTATCAAAAGTGTCTTAGAATGAAGCATGCGAACAAGAATACCGTCTACTAAAATAAACTCGGGATTCTCTATATCGTAACTTAAATGTTGAGTTAATCGTATTAACTGTTGAGTTTCATGTTTGCAAATAGTCATCGTTCATTTTCTTTATGAGCTATCAGAAAATCATCGGCTATCATGACGAGCTCTGGGGCAAAATGTGTAAATGTTTCAGTTGCATGGATATAGCAATTACAACCATCTCCTTCACTAAACATTCTCATAAACTTATTGCAAAACAATTCGCAGCGGCGATATTTTGACCGAGTGCATTGAGACACAAACTTATCCAAAGTACGCATTGCTTAGGGCAAAATTGTGTGGTTCTCATGTTTTCTTCGAAAGTGGTTCTTCTTGGACTAAAATTGATAAAAAAAATCTTTTACCTTTTGTCGAAATTATTTGAACTTGTGGTTGTCAATTTTTTTCTTATGTAATAAGTAGCGATAGTTCGCTTTGTTCATTGTCGATAGCGGTTCACCCGATGCAAATAACTGCTATACCAACACGTTACTTACAAACTTTGTTTGTACGCAGTGTAATTAAAAATTTCAGTCGGGAATCACAGAAGAAAAATTATAAAAAAATTTCTTTCACTCGGACTTCCTCTCGAGCGTTACGATTTCCTTCCCAGAGTTGATTATGTCTGTTTGATTAACAGAGAGCAAAAGCAAAGTAAAAAGTCGATGTCTATTGAGTGCTGAGACAAATTCAGGCAAATAGAAGCGCGTGGTTTTCAGGAAACTCTCTTTTGATAGAAGTGTGTAGAAAACTTTCCAGGATTGAAAATTAAACTAGCTTTTGATATAATTTGTAAGAAAGCAATCATAAGGGCTCACATTAGGAGGGTTTGTATTTCAGCTTACGGAGAAGCGATGGAAAACAACATTGTAAGCAAAACTTTCTGAAAAGCTACACGACTAACTTGTTAAGCTACTAAGTAAGTAAGTAATTTATTCATACACGTAAAAACCCAAGGGTAAACAAAAACTCGTTCGAACGTACACGAGTGGAATATAAATACAAAAACTCAAATGAAAAAAACTTTAGCTACTCAAGATGGAATACATAGTACATTAAAAACGACATCATTACATAAAAATATAACATTGAAAAAGAGCAAAAGATTTGACATAGATATCAGGAAAAGCCCAAGAGCCTTTATAAACACTTAAAGATCATCTGAGTTTCTAATGTATAACGGTAGCTTATTCCACAGCTATAAATGAAAAGGATTTATGCGTCCAATCAGTGTTAAGATGATGCTGTACCAAGTTACTTCCCTGACCCCTAAGCTTATAACATACATCCCTTAAATTCAGAAAATCGGTAGTGTACTTTGGACCTATTGAGTTAAGACATTTATAAATCAACACCAGAGCTTGATAATAACGACGGTGTTTCAAATATTCATGCCTACGAAATTCATTAAGGTTTCTCAGCTTTCATTCTTATTCCTAAATAGAGTTCTTAAGATATAATAGTTAGCATCTTCGAGTCTATCGCTCTGCACATTACCAAGACGAACTTAAAGTGCATTACAATATTCTAAGTGTGGAACTTGAAGCATTTTACATAGGAGAATCATCGAGACATTCGTTTAAGAGCTGAGGTCTCGGGATAAATTCTCTGTAACTGCGCCGAAATATGTTCCTGGTAAGAAATCTTCCTATCCAACTATTAATCCAAAAATTAAGACGAACCGTGGGTAACCTATTGAGTTTGAGACAACTTGGCTGGGTTTCCTTTGAATTCTCTTTGATTATTTTCAAATTGTTACAGAGTTTACCGCCTCCGTTGTGTTCGTGGTCGCTCACGGTTCACCTCAACGCTCAATTCTCAAATCCAATTAATACAGCTTTAAAACCCAAAACCAACAACTCTTGTCCATTGCCGATATCTTTTGAATAAAGCTACCAACATCATTAATTAGAAAGCTGATCACCCACACATACTTGTTTTACAGTTTTGATAGTTTTGCTTTTGGAGTATCAACAGGTTAATACTTAGAGAGCTCTCGGCATTTTGCAAGACTTATATTTGGAGCCGTTGAATACTAGAGCAAGTTTATTGCAACTTGTTTCCTCTCACTGTTGACAATCAACATTGATTAATTCCGTCACCCCGGACGAATATCATGCGCTCTTAGAGCGAACAGTGCCCTAACTACACAAAACTGAATTTCAAAAGTATTAATTTGTGCAAAACTCATCAAACGAAACTGCCTCTGGTCGCCGCCAAAGAACTCGGATATGTTTGTATTCAGTTTCTTTTTCGAATTCCCTTGAAGTTCATAGCTTCCCCTGTGTAGGTTTCTACGTAGATGGTTTCAAACAAGACAAATAACGGATGATTCTGAGAATAAGGTTATTTATGATGATTCAATCGATTCTTTCGAATCCTTTCTGTCTCACACATTGATTTCATTTCGGCGGAGTTATCCACAGAAATGTCCATGTGAGAATTCTTGAACTCTTTGAATTTGTTCATGTCGGTGAAGTTTCAGCGATAACGTGTGCAGTTCTTTCAGTTATTTATGCCCCAACAAATTTGCCGCCATTATGACCGTACTGTTCACGCTTGGCTGCCATCTTGTGCCAGATTCTAACCCTCTAAAGAAATAAGAAAAGAACACCACCCATCCTTTCGTTAACACTCATGTCATTCTCGCCGCAAAATTTCCCTTCAGCTAAACTCTTGTGTTCAGTGAGCAAAGTAAAACCGCAACCTTTGCTTCGAGTTCAAAGTAGTTGTTTATCGGATATTGGCAAGACGTCATCAGAGGAAGGGAACGGGTCGTTTGAGAGAAAATTCGTTTGGATAAAATGCTCCGCCTTTTTCTTGCTTATTAAGGCTCCTCAAAGAAACGACCTTCGATGCATTTTAAGTTTCAGATTTAAGAAGCAACAATGAGAGGTATAATGCGTTTTCGTGTAATCCAGTTCAGGTTTCTCTGCATCCCTTTACAGCTTGACGCAGTAATTTCTTTTCTAAGCGTTCATTGCCAATTTAATAGAGCGTCTTCGCAAAGCCTGCTTGGTGAGAGCGACCTTCATGAAAGTTCCGCTTTACACCGAATAAAAAAATTCTCCAAAAAGTAGACCGTCTCTATCTACCCAGTCTGCTGAAATATTCTCTTTCCAAGAAGTGGCAAGATATTAACATTGTCCGCAAGGGTGTGTTCTACGGTGGCGAATTCTGGCGGAGAGCAGCTCTGAGCTGGTTTGTGTTTTGAAAGACGTGTTTATTCATCGACGTTATAGCGATAAATGATCGTTTAATCTATATGAAAGTTCACAAGAAAGTGAGATATTTGTCAGTGAGGTATTTGTCGGTGTGGGTAGGTTTACGATAAACCTACCCACACCGACAAATACCTCGCTTTCGACTCTCACCACCTCCTTGCCATAAAAAGTCTGTAGCTAAAACTCAGGAGGACTGACTGTCTACCATCTTCACTAAAGAAGAGAATCTAAAGCAAACATATTGGTTTTCTAGAATACTTTTTTATTACAAATAGCTATGGCTTATCTTTACTTAAAATTAAGAAACCTTCTTGAATCATTGATAAATAATGAAGGAGAGTTCCAGCACAAAACAGAATCTCAAATTGTTTGCAGAAAGATTGTTACGAAAGTGATACCATGGATGACTATTGGCTGTTCTGATAAATGGTCATCAACAAGTTTACTGAGATGCTCAGAAGTCTGTTACAACGAGTGTCCTTTTGTTAACAGTAGATAAATCAAAAGGATAAAAATCTAAACTAACCATTGCAAGTTTGTTAAATCACGACAGTTTTTTTTCGAACAATGAACAAAGCCAAAGACATATCTGTTGTGAGCCCATTTCTGTTTCACACAAATGAAGCAAGCCAGATTAAAGGTGGTCATTATCAGTTCACTAAGCTGAGTTTTTATGATCTTTCGAAATCTCGTCACTTTACGTCCTCGAAAATATCCTCTCCCCTCACAAGTTTACTGTCAATTCTGTCATACTGTCCAACCATGAAAAACAGAACGCAACCAAAAATTTGAAAGAAAAGACGACGTGACATTTTTCCTTTTTTCCCACAAGTGACAAGATAATGACTCCCATTGGGAGCAAACGTTTTTGATGTACGCTTAATTTATGCCCAAACACGTACGCGTAGTTTATTCAGCTTCACCGAGTAACAGTATCTTAGCTAATTACCAAAGCGACTTTTGGAAAGCTACGGCCGAATATTGGTTTTCTTTTATACTTTGCGTCGCGAGTGTTTTTTTGTATTGGTATCCAGTTCACGGCTGTGAATGAAACAGACACAAAAAAGAATGGCAGAATTTTCCAGTAGTTTGGTAAATTTTTTCGAATTACGTTATTGATGGAGAGTGCTATCCCTTGCATTGTGTGTGGTATATGGTTAGAATATTGGTTTTCTTTAATAGTTTGTATCAGGAATGCTTTTCTGTATTGGCAGTTTTGCAGATATCTTGCGTTTTTCTTGATACCAGTAATCAGTGAGGCACACCTTTATCGCTGGCACGGAATAGGAAGCACTGAAGCATGACTTTGAACAGGAGCCTGCCTTGAATACTTCCACAGTATTGTCATTTTCAATTAGCAACTGAATCCAATCCAAGACTACGGCTTAAGACGTGACTCCTGTGGTCTCCCTGGCTGGCATTGGGTGTCAAAGAAAATTCCTCTTTAGTTTGCCTATTTGCTCAAAACCTACCTTTACGTGGTTACTGTTATCGACCAAATTGGACAAACAGGAACAACCCTTAACACTTATGTTAACCCTTGTTTAACAACTCTTGCGAAACAACGGCAACTTCACGTGACTGAAAAAAATCTTGCATATTTCAAAAACTATGCATGGACAAGCAACGCAGGAGAATTAAAATTGCTCGTACTTTGTGTCCAGGTAAAATTGGCATTGTTTTTCAATGTTTAAGACATTTCTGAAAGAGTGAATTTCACAAAACTACATGACATGTCATAGGGCTGATATTTTTATCAACACTCCGTCTACGTGCTAACATGGACTAAGCAATTCCACTAAGGACTTTACACTTCATTTATCTTCTAGTAATCTTCGTGCCAATATCGTAAGCATTTAACAATATCAAGTGGTACGCTTTTTATCGAACGCGTCGTTACTCTTTTGAACAGCCCAAACAATAAGTTTTGGAATCATGCTACTTGTTGAATATCGGCGTCCCAATGTCAAGTTGCACGCATGATTGAAGTACGAACAGCATAAAATGACTCCGTGAACAACTGAACATCACTCATCAGTCGAAGCCTCGACAGAAGAGAAGTTGCTTTAACCTGCAAAAATCAAGTTGAGAAGAAAGGGTAAGTTTCTAGTCTACAAGTACTCATGCAAGTATACTTTTCGTTTTTTGAAGATGCAAAGCTGATCAGAGAAATGAAACTAAAATAATGAATACATAGATTTACCAGCAACAAGAAGCTCTGTCGCATCAATCTTGCCGACAATATCTTCTTTAAACGGTCTCTGACATTATGTTTTTCAGAATCGTAGAACATCATGGCAGAATCGTCAGTATCACTGTATAAAGAGGAAGGGTGTCAGCCCATACCCGCTACGGTAAATACATATATGAAATAATATACTTTCGATGTAGGCCATATATAAGAATTCCAAGCTTTACCTGGAAATATTTGATTGAAACAACTTGTGTTGTAAAACAAACTGATGGGGGACCTGATGTAGCTGATTTGGCAGTTTTTTTTTTCAAAAGTTTGAATCCGCTCCCGAACAAGATTAAAGGTAAATAAGTAACATGCTTTAATTCATCTATTCATAAAGAAGCTAAGATAGCGTGCCAAAGTTGTTATTTTCTTTTTGGAACTTTTTGCGTCCTTAGAGATTTTGAGCTCTTTATTTAGGTTATTCCAGTCTTGAATTGATCTAACCGAGAATTATCGCCCTCCTTCAGTAAAATTGTTGCACATGGGGCAGCGTAAATTTAATTTTCCAAAGTGTGTATTTCTGGAGTGGACATCAAAATTCAGTTGAAGCATACATTTCAGGCATTCAGGTTTTTTTCCAACAGTCACAATGCAAAGAACTCTCTTGTTCAGTCATTCACAAATTGTGCGTCGGTTTCTGCCAAAACAAATAACAGCTAATCATCAAGGTTCAAGGTCCAAACTTATTTATTCAATTTGTTTTCTTAACATAGCTAGTGACAGATGACACACCAGACGTGCGACAAATTGGCCTCAATAATGGAGCAAAGTCTCTTGAAGTTGGAGTCCGTGCAGGCGATTGGTTTGTTTGCTCACAAACTAAGTATGGAGGGAATAAGAAACTAGTCACACAGGGTATGAAATACAATAGCCCCGAAGATATGGGTCTTCAACGTTCTGAAGTTGTCATGAGCTTGCAAAAGGCTTGACTGTGACGAGGATACACATTCAAGGTTCCGTGGATGAATTTTCCTGTCAAACGATTTGTGAAAGCAACCTAACTAGGTTAAAGGAGTTAACGTAAACTAAATCAAAGGTTGCATGATTTTGTAGCTGTAATTTCAAACAGCTTTCCACGGATTAAAACATGTTATTCTCCCAATCGAGGAGTTAAAAACTGTTGTGCTTTGTTCTTTAAAGTTTGCTCTCCAGTCTGCTGATCTGCGGCACTTGTTAATAACACTCTATTTTATCACTACCACTTCCTCTTTATATTTGCTCCATTTTTGTCTTGTCTTTTCCTTTACGCTTTGATTCGTGAGCAATAGTTCCCCCCCCCCTCCCCAGCTTACGCTAACTAGTGTGGTCAATTGTCGATGTCTTGTTTTACCACCACTGGCAATAATGTCGCAATATGATTGGCCAATTTGCCGTTGGCGACAAGAGTTACAGACAACGTTGCTCGTGTCAACGTGTCGTGCTGCGCCTCGTGAGTCCACAGCATTTTGACCACTTTGATGACAAATATCGTTGTAGATAAGAGTACCGACCACACTACACCACTGTCGATTTGTTAACTTACTGTCAGTAATTTGACGGCTGGCCTCGAAAATCGATTAACACTTTTGATAGGTATGCCTGTTGACGTTAAACAGAGTGGCGCTCCACAAAGTTGTAGGAGTTTTGTTCTCTTTCAGTCTAATTCTTTTAGGTTTATTTGAAAGTTTTACATAGCTCAGGGTATTTTTTTCGTGCATACGTAGTTTAAATCAACTAGAAACTTCGAATCGTTGAGTACCGTTGAAAGTTGGTTGCCACTTCTTCCCCCTCATTGTTAAGGATCAGCAAAAGTTGATTTTATTCCTCGGACAAACTGATTTCTAGTGTTTTTCTAGTTTCTATCAGGAATTTTTTTTCTGTATTGGCGTCCGGTTCATGGCTCGATTGGCATTTGAGTGAACCAATCATAACACTGATAATCTGAAATCAGATAAAAAGGAAATACACCAAGGAAATTAAAATCGTTATGGACTTGATTGATTCCGATCGCGTTGATCGGCTTGTAAAATCTTCTACGTCTTCAGTGACAGGTCAGATATCAGCCAGTTTAAATGGTACAGACCCTTTGTTGTCTTTCTTTTACCCATTCTGCAGATAATGATGGAAATCACTGAGATCATGCGCCGGCAAAAGCATTCAAGTAATGATGAGCAAAGAAATACCCGTTTTGTTTGCACCCGCCTTTATATTATACTCTGCAGACGGGCCATGAAGCACTTGAGTAGGACTCTTCAGGGGGCCCTTACAATAGTGATATACACATTAGAAGTTGAGGGTTTGGTCGGCTGTTATAGTTTTTTCGAAACCATCATTTTTTCCTACTGAAGAACACTCTCTTCCGCACTTCCTTCTCCCCCTCTCAAGACTTAGGATCCATTTTCTTATATTTGTCTTATATTTTCATTTTTTCTCAGCAGGAGGTTGTACTTCAGTAGTGGAGCTTTTCTTGACGACGATAGCGATGTATTGCTCCCAGATGTCCAGGGTTACACCCCATTACACCTTGCTGGGCAATGGGAAAGTCAGCTGGTTCTTGTCAAGTTCCTAAGCTACAACACCTTTACATTTTAGTTATCAGGAAATTTCTTTCTCAGGATCCAATTCAAAAGATCAGTGGGCTTGCAGTGTCAAAGTTTTTATCAAACTGCTTGAATAATGTTCTCTGATAGATAGGGGTGTGAACTTTAATTCAGAGTAGTGTTCAGTGGCAGGTTTACATGTCAACTTTGTTATTTTGTGTGCAGTAGTGTGAGCAGTAAGAATTTTAGGTCTTTGACATAAGGAACTTTCACTAATATCATTGCTACTGCTGCTGTTGTATTTGTAATCCATAATAATTTTTTTAGCTCAATTCCCTGATTTTAATGAGTCAGGTCTGAAAAGGGGAGCGAAATAGCATCATCTTAATGTAAATTACAAGAGTAACGAGCCATTATCGTTGCTGACGGATTCCGTTGAGGACTTCTATGTTTGGAAATGGACCCGCCGTAAGAACCTGTTGATCGTCCGCGGGACTGGGACGAGGGCATCAAAGCGCCATGGCAACCGGCTGCCTCAACTAGACGAAAGCCGCCATTTTGCTTAGGGAAAAGTAGAATGAACTCTGCCATTCTACGAGAGTTACCGATGAGATATTTGCTCTTCTAACATTTTATGGCCGATAGAAACAAGTATTTAACCTTTTTTGCCGTTTCCATTCCCTTTTTATGGCCGTTGATGTGAATCTAAGTGGTAGAAAACTTCGCCAGAATGTGTAAACATGTCTAATAAAAAGTCGTCAAGATACGACGAAAACTCCTGCTCAAACATCCGCTCCTTCACCTACCAGCAATAACATTATACCGGGAAGATTCTCAGAGGAGAGAATCACAGAGAAAAAATTAGGAAAAATTATCAACTTGGCCCGGTCCGATGTGTTCGTGATTGATCACGGTTCACCTCATATGACTTTCGTGACAAACCTGCAATAGAAGATTGTTAAACCCAATTAATACAGCTTTATAGCTTAAAGCCAACAACTGTTGTCCATTGCTGATATCTTTTGAACAAGGCTACCTATATCATTAACTGGAAAGCTGATCACCCACACATACTCATTTTACAGTTTTGATAGTTTTGCTTTTGGAATATTAACAGGTTAATGCTAATAGAGCTCTCGGCATTTTGCGAGACTTTATATTTCGAGCTGTTGAGTACTAGAGCAAGTCTATTGCAACTGTTGAGGATCAACATTGATTGATTTCATCACCCGGACGAATATTATCCCCACTTAGAGCGAAAAGTGCCCTAACTACACAAAACTGAATTTCAAATGTTGTACAAAACCCATCAAACAAAATTGCTTCTGGTCGCCGCCAAAGAACTGGGATATGTCTGTATTCAGTTTCTTTTTCGAATTTCCCTTTAAGTTCTTAGCTTCCCCTGTGTAGGTAGCTACGCAGATGGTGTCAAACAAGACAAATCACGGATAATTCTGAGAATAAGGTCATTGATGATTCAATCGATTCTTTCGAATCCTTTCTGTCTCACACATTGATTTTATTTCGGCAGGGTTATCCAAAGGTCCATGTTAGAATTCTTGAACTCTTTGAATTTGTTCATGTCCGTAAAGTTTCAGCGATAACGTCAGCAGTTCTTTCTGTTATACATGTTAGTCTTGCGTAAAAACCTGCGAAACCTGCAAAGTGGACAGTGGTGGCTACTGTTGCTTGCCGATATTTTCCTTCGGCAAAACGTAGAAGTCACAGGGAAGAGGGTATCGTGAGATCGAGTGCAATTTACAATTTCACCTTTTCTCTTTAGGTGAACTGAACGAGGAAAATATGTAAATGTGACCGATTCTGCGCGGTAAATTTTATTGTCTGGAGCTTGAACATGTCGGGAGAGTCGCAAAATGTGCTGAGAAGCAAGACAACGAATCGACAGACAGCTTCAAAATTACGACTGTTAATGCTTTTATATCAAGGCTGGTACTTGCATAAAGAGAAGGAAACCTCGTTTTTAACATTATTTATGGCAAATTTTGGTTAGACGGCGACTTCTTTGTTCGAAATCTAGACACCAGCATGGAACTCTGCCAGTAAATAGTCGGTTTCACGAAGGAATTTTTTTCTTTTCTCTACAGAATGGTACTCTTTCTTTCTTCTGTGGGCCTGTTTTTTTCTTTTTTCCTTTTTTTCTTATCAAGGACTTTCTTCCGCTTTTGACTTTTCCATGAGCAAAGATCTTTCCATAGCAAAAAGCTTTCACGTGTGAGTTTTGTTGAGTGCGCGATGTAAACAAAATATGGAAACAACATGAAAAACGAGCCCCATCATGAGCGGTTGCCGCGAAAATTCCCCTAACGAACTCACCCAGGTCCGAGATTAAGACACCTTCCTGGTTTATTCACTTTTATTTGAAAATACGTTTTTCTTAATAACTCGAGTGCTTTTAAAAATTTCAGAATTTTTTTTATGGAAACATTAAGTTCAATGTTAAAATTCAGTTTAGTCCAATAAAAGAAAAATCGGTTTTTTTCGGCCTTTGAAGGTGGGAAGTAACCTTAACCCTCTTCTGCACTGAATTACCTGAAAACTGCATTTATCTTAACCAATCAGAACTGAGTAATTTTTCCAGGTATATTATTAACTCAAATATTTGGTTATTTTGAAGAAATTAATTTAAATCGTTATTTTTAGTCAACAAAACCCAAAATTTCCAATATTCATGACTTTAGCAACTCAGCAATTTGCAAAGTTTGATCCTTTTTCACGCAGTTCCAACTTGATTGAACCTTCTTTAGATTGTTGGTTGAAGAAACAGTTGATTTCCTTTTGAAATAATGTTTACGCTTTAAATAAATCTTCTTGTTGTTGTCCCGACAATCCTGAGTTCAGTTTGGTCTCCGAGCTACCCGTCCTCTAAAAGATTACCCGCGTAACAACTTTACGGTCGCATGTAAATGCATTTACGAGCGCAACATCAGGCTATATAATTGACTTGAATTATATATCAAGGATTGTTTCCTGGTGCTGTTTTACATAAGCCGTTATATCGTAACATTAAACGGCTCTATTACATAGTTCCTTTGGCCCAGATACTGATACTGATCCCAATTTTGGTGTTAATTACGCGCCACTCGCAACTAACCCCTTTGCCACCCTCTGTACATGTTAATGGTTTTTAGGGCTTGTCTAAGACTTTGACAGTTAATTTTCTGATAATTCTTATCAGCGTTCAGAGACTGTATTTCTCACACTTTGTTTCCAAACCAAGTAATGAATATGAATCCTTAAATGGGGCGATTTTATGTTATAAATGACGCTTTGCCCAAGTAAGAAAGCCTTGATTAAATTGCATGGGAAATTTAGGCTTAAAAAGAAAAAAGTAAAAAGACGCTTCAAACGGCCCATGAAGGCGAAAAAATACCACAAAAGAGTTGATTAACATTTTATTTAACTTTATTGAGATATTCAGACCGAGATGTAATTAAGATATGCAATTTTCAGTGCATTATTCATAACCCTCATAGATTTTGTTCGTCCGTGTTAACAATTATTAACATGCCATGAACACATGATGTGGTCTGCCTGTGGGAGTAGTTTCATCGTAAGCTTGTTCAACCAACGAGCCGTAAGGCGCACACCTAAAGTAAACTTGGATCGCAACGTAGTTCGAAAAAACAATCGGCGTTTTCATATACCGGGTGATGGGCTTCCACGAGTTTGGAGTCGACTTATTACCTGAAGTATTTACAGCTGAGTTGGGAAACTGATCACTAAAATCTAAAACGAAGATCAAAGAGTGGGGAACAGGGAACGGAAAACGGGGACCGAGTGTGCAGCGGTAATATGCACAAGAAATTAAAGACACAAAAAATATGGCTTCCATTCGCTGACTTGTCAGTGGGATAATAATGCTACTTAAGACTTCAACATGGGATACTCTTTGCAATAATTTCAAAATGTTTTTCTTAGTGTCTCTACGATTAGCATATATCTTAATGGCGGACGCCTTCCCAGACACTTCTTAAAGAGACGATGAAGCCTTTTGAAAGGAAAACTGACATTATAAGAAACACTGATTCATTCAACGGTTGCTTTTAAACTTCTCGGTCGTTTTTTACAAGATGTTCGTGTCATTGAAATATGATGTGTTTGAATTCTCCGCTGAAATAGCCAGTTTTATCTTTAAGCGTTCTTGATTCAACTTCTTGATATCATCGAACTCGTCCCCCTGTAAAATAAAACACTGAACCTTTTAAGCGTGTTTTTCAAGGACTATTATGAATAAAGCTGTCCTCCGTAGGAAGTTGTTATGTTTTGTTCTGTCCATTGGCCGATAAAGCGCGCAGGAGTCAGCTTATACTCTAATTCTTGCCTTAGATATTTAGAACATAGCCTTCCGCTCCGTCTTCGTCAAGGAGGAAAGCCCTGAAATTAACTGAAACTCACATGAAACGACCGAAGAGAAAATTCTCATCAATAGCGATTTGGTAAAAATTTTGACAATAAAAATCAACGGTAAAACACAACATTTCGACCAAGCTTCGGTCATTTTTAAGTGAATGGTAAGAATGTAACGATGAATAGATAAATGGGTGTAAGAAGTGCAAAATTTTTGGAAGTGTAAACGGACAATATGAACATACAAAAGAAGATATAATTAGAAACTAATTAAAAACAAATAAAAATTGAAATACCTAATTAAAAACCTTTGCACGGATTCGAGTCCGACCGCATATGAGAGCAGGTCTCAGCTCTTGATGAAGTCGATTAGCATCCATTGGCAAGCATTTTCGCGACAAGCATTCTTTGGCCTCAGGGGATCTTACGAAGAATTTTAGAGTTTCAAAGAAGTGTACGAAAAAATTTGACTGCCTACTTTATGAAATGTTTTTTTTTAATTCAAGAACTGAGACCTGCTCTCAATGTGCAGTCGGATTCAATTCGTGCAAAGGTTTTTAATTAAGTTTTTCAATTTTTATTTGTTTTTAACTAGCTTCTAATTATTTCTTCTTTTGTAAGTTGTTATTGTCCGTTTACACTTCCAGAAATTTGACACTTCTTACACGCACACATATATATTCATCGTTACATTCTTGCCAGTCACTTGAAAATGACCGAAGCTTGGTCGAAATGTCGTGTTTTACCGTTGATTTTTATTGTCAAAAGAGAAAATTGTCTACATCTTGAATCAAAATTACTTCGCATCATTCTCAACCATACGTGACCAAAACACCTCACAATTATCGGCGGTTACAACGACACGCTCTGCTTCTTGTCGATTAGTCTACGTAACAAAAGCTTTGTGAAGTCTTTCAGTCTCAAACTGGAAGAACTCAGTGCGCAAGATCACAGCGTGACGCGGCCCCCTTAATTGTGTGATGTCATTACTAAAAATAGGACATAAAAGTAAGTAAGTACATTACCGACAGATCGAACCTGACCAATCAAGACCGATTGAAGCTGATTGGGTCATACAGCCATCCACATCACGGCAAATCTGGCATAGAAGAGTTTGACTGATGGTCGCGTATCGCGGGTTGTGTCTTTCATGTCTCGCCTTCTAGGTCGCAGGTTTTTTAAATTGTTGTTTGTGTAAGCTTATTGGCAGGATTCGCATAAAACAATGTAAGCATAATAACATTTCTTGATTTCCGAACGTCTGAACGTTTCACACTCGTGACAAGACGAAAAACATCTTTCTCTGTTCCTCAATATGTTTCTCAAAACTTCTTCCCATTTAGGCGAAGCGGAAACTTAACTGAGACGCATCCAAAGGCCATTGATTTTGCTTACGCTCTAAAACCTCTCAAATGTATTAAACCAAAATATCTGGCTAAGCCCTCACTAGCATAGGCAAAGCCGGGAGAAAGGTATTTCGGGAAGGTATAGGGGCAGAAAGAGATAATAGCGTGAAGCAGTTGGAAAAGAAGACAGGCGTGCACGAAATTCCTTGGATAATTTGGGAGGAACTGTTACCTCGTTTTGCAAAGAAAAAAGGAAAAAGAAACATTTAAAAACGTGTTTCATACGGGGCACCTCCCACAGGCACTTCAGCATGTTGTTCCCGTTCCATTATCCAAAACTGAAGCAAAGTAAACTCGTCCTAAAGAAAATAAGGCGCCTGCACAGTTTCCCTTAGCGCATAAGTTATTGAAATAGTCGAGCGTAAAAGCATTTGAAGGCGTGGTTCCCATTAACAGACTATCTAATGTGTTATGGAACCAGTAAAATATTGTCATATTGCTGTGCGTCATGCATAAGCAACCCTCTAAAAATCAAACAGAAAAAAAAGCAAAAGCAAATAACACTAAAACAAGTCATTTTAAAACCCGCGAACCACGACACGCGACTAGCTGTCAAACTCCACTAACAAGGTTGTCGACTTGTTCAAAACTACTATCGAAAACAGTTTATTTCAGGACTACTCTCACCCGGACGGTCAGACTATACGATAACATTTTCTCTCCAGGGTTTAAACCATTTACTGTGTGTACCTGTGTGTTATACACTCCAGCACACTCCACTGAGGTAAGACAACAAAAGACGACGATAGCGTGAGAAGTATATATATTTTTTTTACATGCCTAACTGACTAGTAAGTGAGTCTTAACCGTTGAATTGTTACTTAACCGAACACACGAGCATTATGAATGTGAATAGTTTTAGCCAAATCTAAAAGCGAGGCCCTGCATGAATTTCCTCGCACGCGCAATCCACTGAGACCTAGTAAAGGTTACTCCAAACCTTCGTGGGTGTCTTCCTCAAGAAAATTATTGGGCACTGTTTTAGGGAGACCACTACAACTGGCTTGCTGCGCTTTGCTAAATGAAACCAAAGGCAAAAAACCGGATGAAACGATCCACTTAAAATCATGTTTTGGAAGTTCTTGCCATTTGTTACATAGTAGTCTGCGAGCAGGCGCTCATTTTGAGAAAAAGAGTGATTTACGAATGGAAAACATTAGAATGTGAATTTCATAGTATAAATTCAACAAATTTTAAATTAAGAAATATGTTACTTAGAGGATATCACTAAGTAACGTTTTAGCAGACTGCCTGTGCAAAGCTTTCATTATTCTGCGGTGTTGGGATGGCTACAATCATTTGGTAAGACATTCAAGAAAACTGACGAAAAAAAGGGACCAAAATACAATTATTTTTTGGAGAGGGGAATTTAGTATTGTCAACTGAGTTAAGAACGTAAATTGGCCACAATAAAGAGTTTCAAAGCTGACGTTTCGATGTTAGCCTCTTCTCCTAATTAACCCTGTTATACTCTTCCACCGACGCAGCACCATAGTTTCTTTAGAAACGTACCCTCTTTATTCATTTGTCTTTTTTTTAAGAGTTCTTTCTGTCGACTTCACCTTATCAAAGTAAGTTTTGATAAAAAATAACTGATGCCGGCCCACACCCGCACAGTTCAAGGTAAAATTTTTTCAAGTTTCTAAGAACATACCGACTCGAATTTGGGTCTTACCTGTTAAAAGAAAAACATAACCAGTAACCACGTGTTCTTTCAGAGGACGTTTGTTTAGATGATGGTCTCAATGGGTTAATGGCTTTTACAGCTATCGGTTAAATATTTCGGCCACTTGATGTTTGAAGGTTAATTTCCCCAACGGTCAACAGAAATGTTTTAAATTCACTTCAAGTATTTTGCAAAGTTCATTACTAATTTGACTACCAGAGGTAATCTACAAGGGTTATTCCAGATTAAGCTGCTGTTGTGCTGATATAACCCGAAATTTTGGCTTGGTATTTATGACCAAGAAAATCCGGCGATAAGATTTCTTTAGTAAAATACTGAAATTAATTCTTGACTTACATCTTTCAATTGGCCTCTCCTCCGTTGCTCGATATAAATGAATCGTGCCTTTCAGGAGAGCCATTCCTCACTCACTGAATGATGAAATTCGAGATTTTCTAAAGTAGTCAACAGTCTATCAACGTACTGAATAATTAAGACGTGTCATTAGGTAGCTCATAGGTATATCACGTGGCCCTCTTTAAGCATATATCGATCCTACCAAACGTGTGCCAGAGACCAAAAACAGCGAAAAAGAAACGATCCAAGTGTTCTTTGTGATAACCTCGAAATTTGAGATATTGCTGAGATATCAGACCATTATTGGATCTTCTACATATAGGCAGTTTAGGATGAATTTTAACTTTGGTCCTTTTTTTTTTCATAGAATTTTAGGAAGGATTTCATTCATGTCATTTCAAAACAGTCTTCACTGTAAAACTTGATTATATCAATGTATTAAATAGCATTACTATGGGTCGAATGCAGCATCTCTACCTGGTACTCGCCATCGTAACTATTTTGTTTATTATATATCTCTCATCAAATCTTCACGTCCACACTAAGAGTCGTCCCAGAGCATTGGCTAACGATTTAAAGCGCTTAGAGAAACTTAGGGGCTTTGCAAGAAAACTACGGCGCTTACTAGTAGAACTTTTTGAGACACAAGAGGGCTTGATACATTCGCAACGGCAGTTCTACCGTGTTAAACGACATATTCAACATGTGAAGCAAATGATAAAATTCGTGGATGGACAATCAGAGCATGTAGACAAAGTTCCTGGCGATTCCTCTTCAAAAACTCATGTTACAAAGAGAGAGGTTTGTCCTGAGAAATTCATGGGAAAGGATTCTACTTATGGGTATCCATTTTATAGGAAAGGCTTCCAGGGGGAAAATTGCACAGACTTTGTTCCAATCGATGAACTTGTGACGATGATTTTAACGTCACCAAGGGAACTATCACCTGAAAAGCTACAAAAAGTCTTTGAAGGCATTGCCACATATTATCCAAGTGTTCCTGTAATATTTGTGTCAAGAAAAACTTTACGGTTATTAAAGAGGCTGAAAGAACCAAGTTTGAATTTAAAGCACATGGGATCTGATGACCTTACACATGGACAAACATGGTCTGAGTTACTCAAGATGGTGGCCACACCCTATGCACTCTTTGCACCAGATATCACTTACTTCACTGATGATGTTAATCTTGAACGCCTTGTACGGGTACTGAGTGAGAACAGGGATACCATCCTTGTAGGGGGAAGCCAAAAGAATCAACGGGGGGAGTGGGACAATAGCTGTCGTCAAGTGCAATTCAGAAATTGGACTGCATACTTTTCAGATGGGTATTACCACTCATTTAATGACTGTGTACAATGTGATGTGCTGCTTGGTCCATTTATGGCAAAAACCAAAGAACTCCAGGAACTTGGAATTAATAGAAAGTAAGTTTGTATTTAAGTTCTTTATATAAATTTACCACTACATGAGGGGAATAGGGACAAACGCTAGGGAGAGAAGTTTTAGACGAGGAAGGTGCTTTCTGAACTGTTTGTGTCCACATACAACTTGTTTCTTTGAGCTCACTGAATGAAAGCCCGTCAACAGTTACTTAGGAGCTTCGTTTTCGGTTGTGTGTATAACCCGAAGGCTGCATTTACAGGCCTGAATTGGTTCACGGTACTGGGTATTTCAATACCCATATTTAAAAATGTGGATTAAGGAAAAAGCATAATGTAGTCTTAACATTCTAAATTCCAATTCGACCAGGAAACATTGGACAAGTCTCCCACCTCACCTCTCAATGGGATGGAGCCATAGAAAGAGTGTGAATTTCCTTTCAAAGTGAACACCTCAAGATTTCATTTGTTATTTCTTGCTTTTCTAGACTACATTTCGGTGCCTTTCAAGATTTATTCTGGCGATTAAAACTCAAACATCCAGAGAAAGTTGTTGCCAGCTGCCCTGATGTCATGTTCGACACTTACGAGCGAGAAATTCCAGATGAAAAATATGTCGCCTTGGCTAAAAAATGGGATTTGAAGAAATGGGTGGAGTCTAATGGACGAGTGCGTTGGTATGGATGCAGGAGAGGTGGACATGCACATAGCGGTAAATCTTCTTGTCGTTTTCGAGCCAAAGGACTCACTGTTCCTCCTTGTGACTTGGAGAATCTCGCTGACATAGTCAAGTTTATCCTGAATGAATGTGAGAAAGCTGGGATTTACTGTCAACTTAATGCAGGAACATTATTAGGTAATGTGCTCATGTGACTACTATATTTGAGGGACGTGCAGTTTAAATAGACTCCGTTGCCTTTTCAGGATCCACATAGGTTGGTCTTACTGATAGAAGAAACATTAATGATAAGAGAAGGTCGCTCTGACCTATATTAGTCCTTGATATTTTTTAAGAATTCGTTTATAATAGATATTCTTGTTTTGTTGAAAAGACAACAAAGTTATTTTAGTGTCAATGACAGTTGTTTCTATTGATGTCGAAAAGAGTAATACTATCTGGAAACCTCCCCTCTAACTTTGAGGTGGCCAGAGTGCCACCATTACCATGGTCATCCCAAGATGGCATTAAGAAAGTTTTAAGTGAAACATTTCAAGCTAATCAACTTTAATTTTTCTCTGTTGAAGGTGCTGTTAAGTTCAAAAAGGTGTTGCCATGGGAGCGGGACGCTGACATCTACTTTATTTCAGACAACTACACAGCAATTAAAAATCTTCGTCCAAGATTTGAAGCGGCAGGCTATAAATTTATAGATAAAAAAGGAACAGAATGCTGCACAAATGGACGCATGAAATCTGGCATTTTTAAGATCAAAGGAAACGGCTGGACTGTTGACTTGTGGGGAAGACCGACTCTTGAGGCCGAGATACTTGTAGCTAATGGTCAGCAGCCCACTAAAGTGATGTTTGCTGGTCAGTGGGTCATTGGCGCGCGCAATCCAGCTCTTTCCTCTCGTAATCGATATGGACCCAACATGTATCATCATGCAGAGCATTGGCAAGTTATTGGAAACGCAAATGGGGATGCGCTGTACAAATCGGGTGTTTGGACCAAATGTTCCAAGCCTGGACACATGGGGTGTCTAGACCAGTTCCCCACTGATGGTGATCTTCAGTTTGGTGACTTCTTTATGACCTAATTTTTTTTTACACCAAGGACATGGAATCGAATAAGTAAACTGAGATAAATTTTGTGAACTGCATCAAGGAAGCTGTTTCTAGGAGTGATCTTTAGAGGCCATTATCAGTCTTTTTAAAAGGCCATTTTTTAAAATTTTTTGATGTCTATGCAACATTTACCATATCTGAGTGAATGTTAATGATATGGTACATAGTTTCTTCTCTAACGTTTCTGTTTATCTTGTTCTTATATGAAAGCCTTTATGCAGATTTTCCTTCGTAGATCTCTTTCTTGATTATTTTTAAGTCAGCCGACATTTTCTATCAATGTTTATATCGCTTACTTCAACTTGGTTACCTTAAATCTTAACTATAAATATACGAAAATTGAGGAGAAAGTCACTCAGAAAAGAGCAAATGACTCGAAGGAGCATATTTTCAGGGTGAGAAGAAATGCACTTGGTTAAATCTGATTTTTTGGCAAGTGGTTAGGTGCTATTTGCTCCGAAAAGTGTTAGATTGACCGCCCAGCTCGTGGCACCTTTAAAAGCATTGTAACCTTAATTCCTATCCGATCTGAGTAAGTCTTCCCAATTGTAAAGTCATTCAGTTTTAAGGAAAAAGGAAGTTTAACCAAAGGGCAATGAGGAAAAGATGTCATTGAAAGTGTTAACCAGTTCGGCAAAAAGTGCAAGATTCAATGTTACAAGAAGTGAAAAAAGCGATTAAACTAGCAAGGTGATCTCACAACCAATGACCGGTTCTTGACCGGTAGAACACGCTTCCGCGGATGCTTGGGTGATGTCCTTTTGGATTCATGTAAACAGTTTCACGAGGGTGTAAAGAGAAACGAAAGAGTATTTTTTTAAGTCAATTTACATATACGCACGAGAACTCAAACTTGCCTTAATCTGCACAACATTTCATTACACTGCTACTTGGACTGGAAAGTCAACTATTTTGGACTAAAGTTTCAAAATATACGCACGTGCCCAAATCGACCATGTCAATCAGGCTGCTAAACTAACATATCAAGCAAACTTTGCATACAACTGTCAGTTAGAAAGTCCACATCTTTAGAACAATACCCTCCCAAATGTATATGTACCAATCGTTCATGCCGGTTAGACCCTATAAACTTGCAAATCAAAAAAAATTTACGTAAAACTGTATACAGCTTTACATAAGGCTGAGAAGTCTACTACTTTGGACAAAACTCTCCTGTTTACCAGTATACAAACAAATCAAACCAGTTAGGTTTAAAAACTGCCAGTTCGACTACAAAGCCAGTGAAAATCATGACATATTAGCAGCCCATAATTCAGTACACTAGCACAAACTCGAAATACAGAAAAGCAACTTGTATTTAACAAGGAAATGGTCTTTATCAATGACTTTATACTTTATCTTAAATCGCCAAGCGTGGCTGCAACTAAGCGAGATATTAACCAAATTTGGTTTACACCAGTAGTTTCCTTTCCTTTAAAGACGATTGTAATTGGTTGATTAGTAATCACGAAACCTTGCATATATTAAATGGTACACGTATTGAATGCGATCAATCTCCAGGTTTCGCTCGTGATCAGAACGTGGCTGAGGCCGGGAGCTGTGATTGTGGAGTGACACTTGACACACAAGGCGGTATTTATTATTTCATTTGCCAGATCGAAGTGCATATAAATTTCTTAAGACATAAATGGTCACTTCTAAGACAAAATGGCTGGTAAACAAAGAAAGGAAAGGTAAACTAATTTCTAATCTCTGTGTAAAAACATTATCCCGATGTAAGCCAGCAATGCATACGTAAATGTTGAAGCTATGTAAAAAAAAAAAAACAAAAAAATCAAATTGCAGAAAGGCACAACAACCCTTTGAATAAAAGATCACATGTTAACCCTTTAACTCCCAGATCTGATTGATAATTCTCCCCTCTAGCTGCTACACGTTTCCTTGTAAATTAGTCAAAAGAATCTGCTGTTAAATCAAGATAACAACTTCAACCTTACAAGTTTGAGTATTCTCATTACCCGTTTGCTGGATAATGTATGGATATTATAGGGAGAATTTACATGTTAATCACTTCTTGGAGCTAAAGGGTCAAGGAATATAATGCGTGACTATCAGGTCCTTATCAGTAAGAGACAGTTTAACAGCTGAAACATCACTAAAAAGTTTGTGGTCCAATGCAGATTTAAGATAGAGCAGACATGTATTTCCTGCCAATATCCCTTTTCAAACATCCACAAGATCTAACTTGAATATGAAAACAAACAGAAACAAACACTACTTAGCGGTAGTGAAAATAAGGCCTAAAAAAGATTCAGGCCTGTACGAGATTTGAACCCATGACCCTTACGATACCGGTGCAGTGCTCTGGTCACTATGTATATTGGTTCCAAATAAAGCCGTGAAGTGATGAGTAATTAACTGTGAATATACAAACCAACATAGTGACCAGCTCCCAGTTGTTATCTAAGCGCGCTACTTTTAAAGAAACCACGAAAAATTAACTATCTTTATCACACCCATTTTGAAATCAATGGTGGTCCCTGTAATCTGATTGGCTCTAATTGGTGTGATTTATTCACGAATCGCACCATTTTTTGCTTTTAATTGCATCATTTTCCCAGCCAATGAGGAGGCTACACTGAAAACAAAATAACCAATCAGATTTCAAGGCTTGTATAAAGTAACCAATCTAATTGCAGGAAAATGAAAGACAAAGAGTATCATGTGGTAAATTTTGCAACCTTTGTTTCCAAAACTCTTGTTTTTCCCCCCACAAAAATGGATGAATTTAATTTCAAACTAGCTCAGTACTGCATCAATAAAATATTTGAACTGACCAAGTCCTTTTTTTAAAGCGATTTCAAAATGGATGTAATAAAGTGGTAATTGAACCTCGTGCCGTGCAATTTGGGCTGAAATCATACGTGTGATTTTAAAATCAAACGAGCGCACATGGAACACACACATGGAAAAATATCGATTTTTTTTTCGTGTGTTTGATATCGCCAATCAGCTGCAGCTGCTAGCCCGACACTCCCCCTTCGCGCCACTCGGTCAACCTTCACTATACTCAATCCAGGGTCGTTTGTCGGAATTTTTTCGGATTATAGCTGCTAAAACATTGAAAATCCGTATCGCTTACAGACAGTGACGTTCAAACTTTCCTAGAAGGGGAAAAAACAAAAATACGGAAAGAAAAACCGAAAGTTACTTTTTCAGTCGCTTTGCTAATGGCATTTCTAGCGGCTGAGAACGAAAATCGACAACTGAAAGATTTGCCACAGGCCGATCTTAGCCGTGTACCTGAAGGATTTCTTCTGTCGGTAAGGACTAAGTCACTGTCTGAGGATTTTGTATATGGAAAATTACGCCTATTGTTTGTTGTCGTAATGTTACAACGCATGTTTTCATCTTGAGCCTTAGCGCCAACGCACTTTACGATTTTTATTCAACGTTTGGCGATCCTTTTATTTTCATTTATTAATAAAGTTGACTTGTCTCGTCAGTAAAGGGTTATTGTGTTTATATGATAAACAAAATAATACGTGGTTGCTTGTAGGTATGAAATTTCTTTTCTCGTGTTCAATTCAACATTTCTTTCGTTCGCTGCGCTCACTTGAAGAGAAATTCCATATTTACGCGCGCCCATGCATTATTTTCTGTATCATTGTAAAGCTTATGAAATAATAATAAAAAAAGATTACTAAAATAGCAAAATTTCTCGCAGCTTTTGTTTTGATAGGCGCCTACGAGCCCTTAAACACAAAACTGACGGTATTTGCTTTATTGAAAAGCCAGCCTTCGCGTTACCTCGGACCTCCAGACAAACTGGATTATGTCACTCAGCAGATAATAGTCTAAAAAAGTGTGTGAGGCTTTTTTGATAGTCCTGTTTGTTCGTGAAAGTAAAATAATTTAGAGTTGGACCATAGAAAATATTTCGGTTGTCAGTCACAAGAGAACTATTTCGAATTCCGTTAAAGCCTCTCAAACTTTGGTGCGTTAACTCTTTATAGTTGACTAAAAAAAATGACAAATGATGGTAACCTTTTTTCTTTTATTTTTTTGTTAACAGTATTTACACTAGTGATTAGTGCTATATCTCATTTGAAAGAGGACAAAATTAGCTTTTCAGAAAAAATATATTTAGCCTCCAAAAATCCATGAATTTTAAATCATGCTAAGAAAATGGCATACAATTTGCATATATTATTGTACAACTTTTGACTTTGAAACAGCCTGAGCCTGAATGGATTGGAGTTAAAAGGAAACATTTCTTAGATAAAATATTCCTTATCTTATGGGCAAGACATCCAGAGACTCTGGCTGAAAAGAACAAATATGGAATTAATTAGAATTTTTTTCCAAACTGTACCCCAAAACCATAAAAATTGACCCAGATTATTGAAAAATTTATTCCTCACCAAGTATTTACACAAGGGAAGTAAGCTATACCTCACTTGAAACAGCAGTAAATAAGCTTTCCTGAAATGCATGTTTCCTCTCCAAGAAAAGGGAAACAACCTCATTGAATGCTTTCAAACTAACATTAATTAGCATAAAATATCATCAAAATTTGAACTGTGAATTAAGTGATACCCAAATAATACAAAGTAATAAGGCAAAAATTAACTTAAGAGGTTCCTTGTTATATGGGCAACATCTCCATAAAAAATTGGTTGGAAGATAACAAATCTGAGATGTGTTACACATATCTAGTGAACACTGATTGACACACTGACTAATTAGTCTGACCTCATCATCACCCCAAGCCCAAATTTACTAATCCCTCTTGAAGTCTACAGTGCAATCATTGGAACTATATTTCTTTGTTTGACTTCTGAAATTTTGCCTTGAAACAGGGACAAATGAGATAATCAACCTCAAAATACATAAAGCGCAACATATATCAAAAGCCTTTCACTTGCAATGCACCACCAGTATTTTCAAGAGTAAACAATTCAGAAGTGAAACCGGAAACTGTCATTTTATATCATTCCACTCATTCTCGAGCGCCATCGTCAAAAATCACCTCTAAAGCCTAAGCTATGCTGTGTCTCTAGCGTTTCGCATCGGACGCCATTATCGCAGACTGAAATCGTACGCAAATAATTTTCGGATCGGGCTCCCGAGGTCGCGTTTGATAGTTCGGAGCTAAACCTCGCCATGTGATTGGCTTAGAATGTTTACATGCTACAGCCGAAATTTCAGAGCGATCGGATGTAATCCGAGCATTTCCGAAAAGGTCAAAGTCATCGTGCCCAGGGCCTGACCACAAGCATTTCCGAGCGATCGGATGTAATCCGAGCATTTCCGAAAAGATCAAAGTCGTCGTGCCCAGGGCCTGACCACAGCATTTCCGTAAAAGGTCAAAGTCATCCGGCCCAGGGCCTGACCACAATTAATATCTGACGAACATTCTGGCCAATTTTCATGAAAATCCAACAAATCTACCAGGAGATAACTCGCGTAAAAGTACGAGTTTTCGGCCTCCGAAGAAATTCACAGTTTTCGCACCTTATTTAAGCACGTCATGCCACCAACCCAATCCCCTGGCAGGTCTTGTGACAAAAACTCCTTCTGTAAAGTTCATTTCGTGAAAGGGGGTAAACAAAACCAATGAAAATCTTAAAATTCACCAGAGACAGTTAATTAGGGTTTCTCCTGATGAACCCTGATCATACCTTAAGGAACCCAGTTTGTCTCTGTGTTGTTCAGGTTTAAAGGAATATCCTGAACACACTCGACCTTTTCGTGGTGCAATTAGAGTTTTGTAAATAGAATAAGAAAGATGGTAAGTTTTGAGCTCGATAAAGAAATAGAGAAAGAGCTTTTTCGTTTGTCTCGTGCGTGAGACAAAGAACAAATTCTGAGTCCTAATGAGGAATCGAACCTCAGATCTTCGGATTCCACGCTCCGATACTCCGATGCTCTACCACTGACCCACAGAGACTCTATGGTGAGCAAGGCCCATTACGAAGTTCTTATATGACACCCGTCCTGCATACGGCTAAGATCAGCAATGTCGATAGCGTCTAAGCTTCTCATGGCATCCTCTTGTACCGAATGAAGACGAAATAGGATTTTATCATAGGATATCAGAATTACCATCAAACTTCAACATATGATAAGTCTCGTTTATCTTAAATTTATCGGCTTCCTTCTCAAAATAAAAATCACAATAGATAATAATTTCATCGAATTTTCCATTCAATAACATTTCCATTGATTTATAGTTTATGTTAGTTACCCGTAAAACAGCGCGCGCACTCTAAAAGGCACCCGCGAGGGTCCACCCGCGAAGGTTTGAAGAAACCTTAAATGGTACAGGTATTTCTCAAGGGATTGGGGCGAGCAGTAGAATGACAGTTAATTAAGAGGAGCACACGTGGCTAAGAAAAAAAGCATGCGCGGGTTGGATGGATGGATGCAACGGTGAACTTCCTGGTTAAATGTTCGAGAGAGGATTATTTTCCGGCGAAATTTTCTGAGGTAAGAATAGTGATGTTTTAACTTGAACGGTAAACTTTTCTAGTTTTAGTCTCAAACTATAGGATGTCTATCTGTCTTTCCTACGATCACTTCGACCGAAGCGAATTGATCTCGAAGCTGTAAACGGCCGTCTAGCTCTTTCGATAGGAATTACAATTGTTGCTAGGTTCAAATAATCACGAGGCATTTTCCTTCGACTAAGCACGTTATTTTATATTTCACCACCCTATTTGTACCCTGTTATAAGAGATCTCAGCGCTTACTTAGATCCGGTTGACATGAGTTAAGAGTTGTTGCACATACATGTGTGAAAATGAAAGTCACGCGAAAATTTTATGACCGCACGAAAGAGTTTTTTTCGGCTACCGTAGCGACTCTGGTAAATTCGGCAACTTTCAGCTTCTTCAATCACGAAAGGCAGCGAAGTTCTATTACAAAATCTTTATATAATTACACGCCAACAATATCCGTTTTGGTGACCCAGTCGTTTACCGTCCACCTTAGATTATGGCTCATGAAAATGCCTCCTTGGAAAATATCTGAACCTAACTTCAAAACCTTTTCAAGATACATGCAAACTTACATAATGTCATAGTAACTACGGATCAATATCAGAATCTGGGCCGAAGGCGCTATGTAACAGAGCTATTTCATTTTACCATAAATTTTCGTAAAATGCGACCGTTAAATGTTCGTAAAACGCGACTGTTTATGTTCATAAAATGCGACCGGTAAATGTTCGTAAAATACGCCCGTTAGATGTTCGTAAAATGCGACTATTACTTGCTAATTACATTATAGAGTACTAACGCAGAATTGAAATGAAACTACAGTATATGTGCTTGGATTCTGCGTTGGATTTAAGGCCGCTCGGTCAATTTGAGCTTGGATTTTTTGCTTCTTGGAGCGGGCGTTCGAAAATGGAGTATGAATGGAATGGAAACCTATGAAAGGATAACTCGCTAAAATGGTTTTTTTTCAACTTCGTAAACGGTCAGTTAACAAGCGATGCACTGGGGAATTAGGGTGAAGATTTTTATTGAAAATTTGACTGTATTTTTACTTACATATGTAAATATTCCCATACAAACTCTCGTAGTTTCGCTATGACTCTTATTTCGCAAGATGGGGTCATTCCACTGCTGAAGCCCAGGCTGTCTGTGAGCAAACAGACAAACGGCGGTTAAAGCTGGTCGCCTCGAAGTGTTCCCTGAAACTCTTACAGAACTACTTTTAATACGAGACATGTCCCTTAACATTTATGCGAAAATTGCAGATGAGAGTGAAGTTAATATGTTATTTCATCGGTTGCTACCTTCTTTTAGACGTCTCACCGGAAACGGATAGAATTTGATAACCAAACACTGCGAGCAAAGTTCATGTACCAATAGAGATGACATGTCTGTCGAAAATTAGATTTGGAGACTTTGTAGTACAGTAATACAGAAATAAATAAGTCAATGATGTCTCTTGAAATTTTGAATTCTGGTCTGCCGTCTCCTTCGCATCACATAATGGCCGCCACAAGAAAGCTAGCAAAAAAAGTAACGTCCCAATCCTCTCGGTCACACCATTTTGTTTTGGTTTTGTCTAGACCAATCATATCAAAGGAAATGGCATAGAAAAAATTTTCTATAAAGGCTTGCACATTATCTCTAGGTCATGGATCATTTAGGAAGTGTGGTTACCATAAATATCTTTATTGTTTTTTTAGAGGGCACGGTAACGAATCTTGCAATCTGATTGGTTCTTTACCCGGTCAGTATTTTTCTATCTCTGCCCACGGGCCACGGTAACGCTTTCGTGAGTCGCCGAGTACATCCCAACTTTCGTTGTCATTTTTCATAAATATACCTCGTTTTCCGGCTGGGCAGTATTTTTAAGCAAACACGTCGGTCACTACCTCAAGCCGATAAATAACTTATGAATCCTCTCTTTTCTCTATATCAAATCACTTTGGTTGACAGAAAAATATTGGTTTCAGAATGAATTTGTATAAACAATAGTGTCATTACGTTGTTTGACAAGCGGCCTAAAAACCGTCTGCAATTAATTTTAATCGTTCACAAAAAGTACCCAGAAAGTTGAAACGTGAGGTATTTGGTTACAGTTAAAGTGAACGATGGAACTTTCATTCATTTAATATCTGAATTTTCTCGAGCAATTTGTTCATAGTGAAAGAGCGAGCGAAGTTTTAATTTAAGTTCTACAACAAATATACGCTCCTGGTGAGTCTTTCCAATTCCGTTCAATTTGGACATTTGTACCTTAAATTGCGCAACAGAAATTGAAGGAATTTTTTGAGAAAAGGCCACATTACATTCCCTTGTGTCTCGTTGGAGTGTGCCGTTCGAATTTAGTTTTTGTGAAGGAAAGATCAGAGTTAAACACGCCATTACAGCAAACAAACGAGCAAACTCTCACAACTTCAAAATAAAAAAATTGAATTTACTCACAATTACTTTCCTCGCCGTTTACTTAATGAACAGAGGTAAATCTTCGTACATGAATGAATGGTCGATGAGAGTGAATAATACTTTCCGTTAGATCATTAACTAATTTTGAAGAAAACATTGTCGTGACAGTCCTTGCCAAACTAGTTCTGTTTGTTTTCAAATGTTCCTACGCTTTTCTTTTCCTTGCGCGCTCTCTAATTGACAGGTGTCAGATTGTGACAGATACTTGTAAAAATAATGTTTCAAAGTTTGTTTGGAAGCCTTTTAAATCACCTTTATCGTTACGGAAATGAAAATGTTTCGCTGAGGCATCTCTCTTAAATTTGCATCACCTCTATTTTAACTACCATTTACCCACTCAAAAATTGTTCAGCTTATGGAAGATCTTGCCGTATTTACGTCCATAAATCATTCGGGTTCTTTCGGAAAGAATTTCGTCAAGTTTAAAAACAATAAATATGTTATTTACCGGCTAAGGGTCGGTCCGTATGGTCAAAAACCTCGGTCTTGAAAATGCTATCCTCGGCCTACGGCCTCGGGCAATATTTTCAAGACCTCGGTCACAGTTTTTCACCATACGGACCTCCCAGCCGGCAAATAACATATATTTATAATATACTACTGGTACTTTAATGCTGAAAACACACGCCATTTTTTCCAAGCAATAGTGAACAAGAGTCAAAACACAAAAAAACGCATATTAGGGGGTAGACTCGCTGATTAAATAAAAAAATATTCGAAACAAGAAGTGAACAAGTCTCGAAAAATGCATTTGGTGGGGGTGCTTTGACACAATCGCGTGAAAATGAGCACAATTCTCACCAGTCACAACGCAAATAATGACAAGAAGTATGTGAGGCTGTATTTCAATTTGGCACAATCGCCTAAAAATGAGCATAATTGTCACCAGTCACAACCCAAATAGAAGTGTGAGAAGATGTTTTTTCTGCCATCATTTTTCTGTAATCGTCACTCAAAATATGTTTTCCACATGTCTCAGGGTGCCTTTTCATTTTTTCATGGCGTGACGTTCTCAGAAAAACGGGAAGTTGATGATGTAATACAACAGGGACTTCCCCGAGGGAATGAGACATCAGATTGCTATTTTTTTAGGATATGGATTACCAGTAAAGTTTGTCGGTATAAAAAATTTCCTATAATATTATAAAATAATGAATTGTAATTTTGAAATTCATAACGCATTAGACGAAATTATGTGTCCGTTTTGTGTGAACAATTTCAAAAACATACTGTGATAAGTGAAAAATGTTGTAAAATATGAAACTTGAAAACGATAATGGAAAATATGTATGTGTATATTGCGGTCAGGTTGATAGATATGACACTGTTAACGAATTTGTTGATTTTTATGATGATAGACACAGGATAATCCAAAAGTCCCTTTATCATCGAAAGTATCACGTTCAAAACACACTCTTTGATAAATACAAAAGATATAATATACAACTATCTACGAATGATAAATATAGGATATTAGAGAGTTTTGAAAAGATTGAGAGTGTGCTACCTCAGATCAACGTTAATCAAAAGAGAATGATCAATATTAATTTCATTTTAAAACAAATTTCAGAACGATTAAATTGCAAAAGCATACCAATTTATAAATCAAAAAGAACATTAGCAATATTGGAATGGGATTCAAACACAAATTGGGGATGATATCAAAACAATTATTTGGAGATAAATTTTTGTGAATACTCCTTATCTCATTTGTCAACTAAAGGACACATATCGATGACGATATCATCAGGAACCCATAGCTGAATCCTGATCGCCGTATAAATGATGGCAAATCAACCAATATTTTTTTTATATGATGTGTAAGCAAAACGACATGGCTCGATTTTTTTCTTATAACTTTTTATTTCACGGTAAGTCTTCAGTAAAACACCTGCTCCAGATATCGTTCTTAATACGATTGAATTTATAATGTAATTGAACTGAGTGGAGTGCAATTTGGGCTGAAATCATGCGTGTGATTTCAAAATCGAACGAGCGCACAGCACGAGTTCGATTTGAAAGTATGATTTCGGACCAAAATTGCACAGCACAAGGTTCAATTACCACTTTATTACATCCATTTTGAAATCGCCCAAGTTCAGGACTTGGTCAGTTCAAATATTTTATTGATGCACTACTGAGCTAGTTTAAAATTAAATTTATCCATTTTGGGGGGGAAAAAACAAGAGTTTTGGAAACAAAGGTTGCAAAATTTGCTACATGATACTCTTTGTCTTTCATTTACCTGTAATTACATTGGTCACTTTAAACAAGCCTTGAAATCTGATTGGTTGTTTTGTTTTCAGTGTAGCCTCCTCATTGGCTGGGAAAATGATGCGATTTAAAGCAAAAAATGGTGCGATTCGTGAGTAAATCGCACCAATTAGAGCCAATCAGATTACAGGGACCACCAGTGATTTCAAAATGGGTGTAATAAAGTGTCACACCTCTTGCTATCGTCCCACAAACAACAGATACTGACGACAAATTACACACTAAATTCAATCGTTTGAAATATTTGTATGCTCTCCTGAATAGCCAAAGTTTTTCATGATAAAATTGGTGTAGGGATTCTATTTCAATTAATTGATTTTTATCAATGTTTCCGTCTATATGATTAAAATCGAAAATCATTTTAGCTCTTTTCATATATATATATGATATCTAAAATTGAAGTTTCTTGACTAGAATACCACTGTAAGGGAGTCCATCTAAGACTCCAATGGTATCTCTTAGTTGTATTGAATTGAATTGTAATCATTACAGCATCAACTATTATCAGCTCTTTTGTCATCCTCACGGGAGTTTGAAAATCAAGAGCGCCATTTTGTAGTTCATAAACTTTGTCCCTTTAACACCATAAACAACAACAAATACTTGCAAGTCTTGTAGCTTCTTGTGTGGAACTGATGCCATCTATATTTTTTAAAACCGTATTAATCATTAGTTAATTGAGAGTCACGTTATTGTATTTACGAAGATGAATTATACTTCGGCTGTGATCATTAAACGTTTTAGTTAATGTTCTCGAAACTGTCTCAATACTGCTGGCAGCTGATATTTGGACTGTTGAATGGTCGATTGATGCTGAAGGAAAGTAAAGTTAAAAAAGAACAGTATATTCGCTAGTTTGTAGTTGATACATATTTAGACCTACACGACTGCTATAAAACCCTTTGCTTGGATCAAGATGAAGTTTCATCCCATATGTCTCTGTTTTGACTTTATGAAAATCTTTATTAGTAACCTGAACACCCTTTATATCATCTTCATCACTGAATTCAGAGGAAGGGTTATCAATGAGATATTGAAACATGTTAGCATCATCGTAACTTGATATGGAATGATTTAATCTGACGTAATCTGACGTACTTCTCATAATTGGTCTGACGTTCGCATTATCAGAGATCGTTTTATTGACATAATTAATGTTAGCAGTATAAGTGCTTTCGTGTGATTGAGGCTCTTTGAGACTTATGATACTCCTTCTATTCATATTGAGATTGCCAGTCATTGCTTTGGAACCAGCAATTCTCAAAAAGATTGTTCGTTTTTGTATCAATATACCGTTTGATTGAACCGCCTGTTATATTTACTGGGTCAGCGAGATTATAAATTTTGATTCCTTTCATATCGTGACCTTTTGATAGATGGAGAGAGGAGGTTTTTGAGTCCACATATTTTTATTCACGACGTCATGGTTATTGTCGTAATCTGTTACTTGTAATCTTGATTTTAAAGTCTGGGTAAGCAAGTTATCCAGGTCAACTTTTTTGTCAGTTATCGATCTGCAAATTCTCCAGTTTGCAAATCCACTTTATAATTTGTTTCAAGAGTTCTCAATACTCTAACCGACGATGGAACCATTTTCACCTCAATTCCTGCTTTTAAATGCTTGTTTGATTCAAGTGACTGTTGTACGAAGCCGCTGATATCACCATATGAAAAGTTCCCATTGAATATCACGGTTGCCTGAGTAGTTCCAATGTCATGACTGTATTCAATGTATGTACTCATGTTGACAGAGTCGACGG